CCCACACAGTTTGATTTCCCTTGATTTGCAACCCTGCATTGGTTTCAACTTTTAATCATATCTAACCTCAAATCCTATAAACCAGGTGGCCAGCCACCTATAACAGACAGTTTATTTAAGTATTATGCACAAACATACCGTTTTTGTGAAAAATTTAAACTTAATTTTCGCATCAAAGTGGTATAGGTGAATACTTCAAAAGTGATATACAACCTAATGTACGTAAAAGTCTCCTACTCACAAGTGAAGGGGTATGGTCGGGGCCCGGGGCATGATCATAGACTCGCCGCTCTATATGCCCATACCCTGTGCTAAAATAGTTAGCTCGGGACGACGTCCCCTCTTTAATTTTGTGCTATTTTCTTAAAAATTTGACCTTCTTAACTTAATATAGAAGAAAAAAGAGAGTACAAATCTTAATAGTGCTTAAGAAATGACATAAATCTTCATGCCCACTCTATACAGAAACATGCAGGCCTGTAAGGCCCACACTCTTATCTCCTTGGGAATCATATCTTGACCAATACGAATATGACTTGGTCGGATCACACGAAATGGGGTTTTGAAGCTTTGCCAATACGGCATATACTAATCATATCAAAATGAAAATGCATGTAAATCTTACGTATTTAATGAGCATCTAACGGTTTAAAACAATACATTAACATGCGGCATTTTTTCACCCTACTAGAAGTTTGGCACACAATTTTCACCAACAAACACAATCAAACAATACGGTTTACTTTTTTCTTCTTAGTTTACGGCAGCTAATCTCAAGTCATAAGTTGGAGCTAAATCTAAATTGAAAAAAAGAAAAAAGAAAAAAAAGAATTAGGTGGATGGCGAGTTTTAATCACCATTTTAATTAATAGCAGAACTTTTTCTTTTCTTTTCTTTTTTCTTTCCGCCTTTGTTACTGGGTTTTGTACTGATAAATCATATCAACGGTTTATTATAAAATAGGTCTAATATTTAACTTACCATGATTTATTACTAATGAATCAATAAATCGTTGAGACATTGGTTAATTACTAACTCATATCGACCCATTAATGTAGACCATTAAATTAATAAATGCTAGACCACAAATCAGTCCATCCTCATTACCATTTCTCGAAGAACATTTTTTAATTTAACAAAACTCAATTATATTTGCATTATAAATTGGTAAGATAATCCGTAATGATATTTCTATCACTAGGTAAACTATCTTTTAAAATTAGTTATATAAATTCACAACCACCTAAATAAAAATGTGTATATTTAAAATTATATTATATTAATAACCATAAAATGCACATAATATTGTTGAATAAAAGACATTATCCTCAACATGGGTAAAAAATGATATTTTGTGTAAATACTTCTAAAAAAATATCCTTCCTGATCCTAAGGGGCATCAATGTAAAATCACTGACCTCAAGAAGCCTCTCAGTGTCCCGCCGGTTAATCTGCAGCCTGACCACTCGAGAACTCCTCGGCGAAACCGCATCTCTGAACTCCAAATTCGACAGCCTAAACGCGTTCAGAGAGTACCCTAGCACGTCAACTCCACGCGCCCAAAACGGCTTATCAGCCTTCCCTTTCGGAATTATCTCCTCAATCCCCAAACTACCCTCCCCACTCCCCTCAAATCCCTGTTCTGCCCCTCCCTCCCCGACCCCACCACCGCCCAGCTCCTTCACCAGCCCCCTCAGCAGGGCCGCCGCAGCCGTCCGGTCGCACGCCGCCGTGTGCAGCCTCAGCGCCAGGGCCCTCTCGGCCTCGCTAAGACAGTACAGGCTGGGGGGGGAAA